ACTATTTACAATATTTACATTCCAACTAATCTCACTTGAAGATGGCCACAGCGTGCAACGGCCGAAACGTCGTGAATATGCCAATAAAGATGAGGACATCAGTCTGAACAATGTCAACTGTGTAAATACTTTCCTATTTGTTTTTATTCTATCATTCTGTCAGTTTTTGATCTATATTATAGATATGAAGCGTATGTAACTATAACAGTGAACACTGAGGTCGACACCAACCCGTTTGCCGCTGACCTCAGTATCCACTCATATATATATATATATATATATATATATACATATATATATGTGTGTGTGTTAAATCCTATGAAAGGATTGCTCTTGTCGTAGCTCGAGTTTCATGCTCACGCGATCTTCAGGCGAACGCCTTTTTTGCTCGGTCTAGGCAATGTAGGATTTGGGAACTTTACTGAGTAAATAAGTTTTACATTAAGCCTTTTTTTCATTTTCTTTTTCCAGTATTGTCGTTTTTATTCGAGAGTTTTTGGCTATGGCAAGTTATTCGTTGGTTTCATCAACGGTTTTTGTTTTTCTTTTATATATATATATATATATATATATATATATATATATAACTTTTTTATATAAGGATTTCTTGTTCCGGTCGAGAACTTTTCAGCACCTCTCCTATTAATTTGGCTTTTTTACTTCTTTTTATCACCTTCTCAAGCCGGTATTTAATAATGTTTACGAGTGAGAAATTGATCGTAGAAAAGCAATATTCTTTGCATATAAATTTATTGAAATTATTTCATCAGAATGAGTCAGCGTCTCTGTAGTTTATTTCAGTCGTATCGTAAAAATGCTTTATTATTGGATTCGCATGCAAACGAATGAGGAATTTGGGCTTATTAACAAGCAAAAAAGAAAAGAAAGAAAAGAATAGGTGTAAATTGGACAGAACTAAAAAAAAAAAGAAAAGAGAGGCTTTATTGCTTTCTTTTATCATGTCACGTCATTCGACGCTGAATACCACAACAGTATGAATTTGATATGAGGGGAAATGACTAAAGTATCGAAATCTAATCCTACTCTTTCTCTCAAACCAACGTAAATAAAACAGATATTTACTAAGTGTTGCTTAATCTGGCACAGAGGCAAAGGTGTAATGAAGAAAGACCATACTGTGCCAATCTTTCAAATAGGAAAGGCTTACCTTCGTTGAAAATAAGAATTCAAAATCCGGCTTTAACATCCATCGGCAGAAAATGCACAAATACAAGTCATATGTCAGCCATGGCGCCATGTTTTCTTTGTCTCTTGTCTCATAAACTACTGGTAGTGTAGGAATATGATCTTCAGTCGGTGCTCAACAACTGTGATCTTGTGACAGAACGGTAATGGGCAGAATAGCCGTTTCCTTACAAGGAAACATCCAGCGTTGATTGACCGAATAGTTAGTGTCACTGTCGTTTTGAAAATTATATTTAAAAAATCCCTTAAAACAATTTTTCATGAAATTAGAAGATCTCTCTCTCTCTCTCTCTCTCTCTCTCTCTCTCTCTCTCTCATTTTTACAGTTTTTCAGGAAATTAGACAATTCCTATATTTCTGTTTCTTTCTGTTTTTACAAATTTTCAGGAAATTTAGAAGATTTCTCTCTCTCTCTCTCTCTCTTTACAAATTTTCAGGAAATTTAGAAGATTTCTCTCTCTCTCTCTTTACAAATTTTCAGGAAATTTAGAAGATTTCTCTCTCTCTCTGTCTCTTACTCTCTCTCTCTTTACAAATTTTCAGGAAATTTAGAAGATTTCTCTCTCTCTCTCTCTCTCTCTCTCTCTCTCTCTTTACAAATTTTCAGGAAATTTAGAAGATTTCTCTCTCTCTCTGTCTCTAAGGTCTCTTTTTACAAATTTTCAGGAAATTTAGAAGATTTCTCTCTCTCTCTCTCTCTCTCTCTTTACAATTTTTCAGGAAATTAGAATTCTCAAGACCACTGTTATCTTTTTTTTCTAGTAGTTTCCTTCCTAACCTTTGTTTACGGTAGTGTGGAATGTCAACATTTTGATTATATCATTATCTTCGAGTTACATGAGCTATCCATTTCAGTTGTTGCTGCTCTTGCAAATCTTCAGATGAACAAGCTTATGAAATTGGCATTTTTTTTTTCTTTTTCATTTTTGTTTTTCTCGCATTCATTTTACACTTCTGTTAATTTACAGGGTGTTTCAAAAAGAATACGCCAAAATCTTTACACTGTTTTTTCAGGTCTATAGCATTGTAATGGACTGAATCAGTAGTTATTTGATAGAGTAGTTATCAAAGTTTGATTGGGTGTCAGTTTCACCGCTGTCGTTAGTATAACTTCCGGTGCAGCTACAAACAGGACAAACCTATCTCGAAATGCTCCAAAACTGGCTATTCACTTTCCTGCAAGCAGATTCGAATTATTTCAGCAGCAAGATGGAGCACCACCCCATTGGCATCTCAGGGTTAGAAAAATCTGAATGAAAACGTGCCTCAGCGATGGATTAGGAGAGGTGCTAAAAACCTTGCTTCTGTGCTTTTATGCCAGATCCCCGGACCTCACTGTGTTTAAAAATTTTCTTGTGGGGGGTAACTTGGACCAAGTTTATGTTCAGAACTTCCTAAGTATCGATTACTTGAAAGATCGAATAAAAAGCTGCAATCAACACGGTGGACCGTGACATGCTGAGGCGCCTTTTGGAGGAATTCTCATATCGGCTTGATGTTGTCCGCGCTGCCTGTGGTGGAAACATTGAGCAAACCCCTATAAAACATGAAATGAAACTTGAATGTATATACAATACATGTGTTCATGCTAGAGGTTTGTAATTGTTTTCGTTTTTGACACATCAAGTTATGATTTTGGCGTATTCTTTTTGAAACACCCTGTATATTACATTTCGGTACATTTTTCTCTCTTTACCTGTTTCGTTTCAATCTTTTTTTTTTCTTTCCAGGCAAATTTATCCAACTACTGACATACTGTAAATTTTCATTTACCCCGGAAAGTTATTACGTAAGCACAAGCTCTATAGTTACCTGACCGTACAAAAAAGAACAAATCAGATTAATATTAAGTCCCTGGTCGAATGCTTAGAGTTGAAGGATGGTGACTTCTTGATAATACCAGCCTTAGAAAGTGCTAGAAAACCATATCACGGGATGACGACCACAGGGTTAAATCTCCCTCATTTCTTGCACATTTCTTATATATTTCATTGATAAAAAGGATGTTCTGCTTCTGAGTTGTATTCATTTTTTATTGCTGTTTTCTCTTTATATTCTTCTTTCTTCTTTTTTCAATTTTTCTTTTCTGGTGGGCTTATTTCTGATCCATTATTATTTCTCATTCAATTTTGATTCTTAACATAAAACATGACGTCACAGATAACGTTTCTGTTTTAGACAAATGCATTACAACTACTTCCGGCTTCTTTTGCTTTTTTCTCTCACCACCACCACCACTTCTCCCTCTCTCTATCTATCTATCTATCTATCTATCTTTCTCTCACACACCCTTTTCTCTTTACTTTTTTCTTTCTTTCTTTCTTTCTTCTTTGTTAATCTATCCTTTTTTCTTTTTAAAATTATTTTTTTTTCTTTTCCCCTACGTTTTCATTTAATTCAACTTTCTTTTTTAATTCTCTCTTCCCAATCTTTCAATTAATAATTGATATTTACTAAGCCTAGCTTGGAACGGTGCTTAGGAGGAAATGCTCTGTGTGAAGATTGTTTTGCGTCAATCTTTCAATTCAGAAGGGTTTGCCTTGAAAGTCACCATTATAAATCCTAACTTTTTAGCTGGGCTTAAACACCGACCACTGGAACTCGATGTAACTACCTCACCCACCAGAAGAACATGTCTTAAAAATGTTGCTTCTTCTGGTTGAAGGGGATTACTGTGGGCACAAAACGTAGAACAAGCGTACTACAGTTGTAAAAATCTGCGAGACGAACATACTAAGTCACAGTGAGGATTTCAGATTTTATTTTCTCTAAATATGCATCCAAGTCCTTATTAAAACTGAAAACAAGGAATGTTTTCATTATTTATTTATTTATTTATTTTAATATACAAAAACCATAATGTTCAAATTTTTAATATAACCAACATATATAGTAATAGTGAGAATAACCGTTTCCTTATAAGGAAACATTCGGCATTCATTGACCGGACAATTAGCGTTACTGTTGGTTGAAATTTATAAGATATTTCTTTTTAAAAAGTTTTTACAGAAAAATAGCCTTCTTAGGTTCAGTAACTGTTATCGCTCTTTCTAGTATTGATGGGCGAATCCTTCTCAACCTTTTAAGTCATTGTGTAAAGTCAACATCTTGATTATATCATTATTTTCCTTTCTAGAAACATGTGCTATCCGTTTTAGTTGTTGCTGCTAATGGAAGCCTTCAAGTGATGGGGGGAGTGTTATTTGGTAAAGTTCTTAGTCATTCTGTAGCGCAAGTCTATAAAATCTGATGAAGGACTGACTTCTCTAAGACCAAGAGGGCTCATTCACTTGAAGCCATTTTTCGGTCCGAGAAAACGGTTGCATATAGATGTTAATCCGGACATTTTTTAACGAGTTAGGTGCCATGCATGACATCCATATGAGAGTCAAGATATGACAAGACTATTTAAGAACATTATATTTTGGTTGTGTAACGTATGGTGTTTGACAAAAGTAGTCCCCAGCGCAACTTATACTTTTTTTTTTAATTTCTCCATTTCATATGCTTTATTTATTATTTTATACCTAATTATTACGGTTTTAAGTTTATAAAAATCTGGAATCTGAAAATGACAAGGACTGTTCAGTCAGAAACACACGGAGAGGTTTTATATATCCCTACGTTTAACACTAGAATGGCCAACTCCTTTGACATCTTTATTTACATTACGCCGTGAAGCAGCCATCTTTAATATATTCAATATTCAAGTCAGGAATAACTAGTCTGAAAAGAAATTCACAAATATTAGTTTACCTCATACTGAAAGAAAGTGATAATATATATATATTTATTTAATGTGTGTGTGTATAGATAGATAGATAGATAGATAGATAGATAGATAGATAGATAGGGGACATAAACACAAGTATTATTGCTTGTGAGAAATTTTTCAATGCATTTACCCTATAAATAGCCTAGGTGTCAAAAACAACACCTCGGCCATTCAAGATAAAACCTCAAATATCAGCTATTCCACTGAATATTTTTTAAAGAATTAAGTCTGTTAAGGATCTTTGCTAAAATTCAATAATTGTCCATAAGCCTCAGCATCGAACCAAAATTAGTTATTCCACAGTAATTTGTTGAAAATTTGAAGGTGTCGAAAACGACACCTCGGCCATCCTAGTGCTAATCTGAAATCGTTATTGGAGGCCACACTCGTAACAACGTATGATATGCAAACGAAACAGCGTTTATAGCAGACACAGAAAGAAAACTAAAAGAACGTCTATAGAAGATAGTGAACGAAAGCGAAAAGAAAGAACTAAACGTCAATTAGAAGAAGACAGAATGCATGATTGGTAGCAAAAGGGACAGTTCCAAATGAGTTTGGTGGAAGTAAGAGAGATTGTAAAGCTTTTCCACAATGTCTATTGTCCAAAGCGCTTTCAGCCATTTCTTTAGCCATTTTCAAAGGGTGGAGGGTTATCTTAGGTGTTGTTAGTTTTTCTTTATGTTTAAGATGTTTGTTTTTTTTTGTTTTTTTTTTATTAATATTAGTAGGAACGCTTATTCCGAGCCTTCGCTTGTTGAGCATGGCTGAAATTCGATATATTGCACGTTTGCATGAGACTCCGAGTCGTGCTATCGACGTTGGATATTATGTATATTCACTAATATATATAAAATTCCAAAATTCGCTTGAAGATGAAACAGAACTAATGCTTTTAATTTAATATAATTGAATTTGAAGTTTTGGTTTTCTGTTTTTGAAACATGGTAATTCCTATGTAGCGATGAAACCATATTTTTAAATCAGTTAATTTATAATATTTATGCTCTGTAAATTTACATTGAGCACTGTTTTGTAAAAATTAAAATATCAATAAGAACACTGGATTACATATCTTACTGTTCTTCCTTTTTTGCTATATACATATATATACAAAACATTGTCGACCACTTGTGAATGTATATATATGAATATTGGTTAAAGACAATTTTTAATTTACTATCTTTTTTAATAATTTTCATTCCACATTAAACAAGAGGCTTGAGCTACCAGCAACGCATCAACGAAATTGGACACTGGCGCATTTCGGACTTCATATATGGTACAGGTGAGGCAGAACCTCTTCAAAATATTCACTTTTTAATGAAAGGGAAAATAAATTCTCGTAGAATTAAAAGAAACATCTATAAACGTGTTACCCGAACAAAAAAAAAAAAGAAAAAAAAAGCCGTATATATATTTTAATAACATTAAAATTTTCTGCCATATATATTTTTTTTTATTCTGTACAAATGCAAAAAAAAAAAAAGAAAAAAGAAAAAAAGCTGACACTTGATAAATGAACTGGTTTTAGACAGCACGCATATACAACAGGAAAAGTCATTCTGATAAAAAAAAAAAGTTAAAAGTTCTGTGACCAGACAATTTTAATATAAGCAGCAGGGATGAAAAAGAATTCCATGACATAGCGCTATCTATAAATATAAGAGTACAATATTGATTACTCCAATGCAAACTCCAAGTAGCAAAGGATCAGTAAATAAAATCTTTAGGTCGAAGTAAAGACAAATTTCTTCCGGAAAATGAGCGAGAAGAAAAAAGAAAAAAAGTTAATGCTTTTACAGCTGATAAACTATGTCTGTTGCACAAGGTCTATCAAGATTCAAATAATATCAACCACCTGTACTTTTAAGTGATGTCAGACAAATGTCATCTGTTCATGGAATCTTTATCTTATCAGACGTAAACACCATTTCTATACACATTAAGAAAAAAAAAAATTGTCGTGGGCGTGTCGCTTGTGATTTCAAAGCAAGAGTTATCTCCCCTAGATAATAAACTTAATATTACTACATATTGAGTTGAATTGAGATACACAGAGTACAAAATGAATTTCTTACTGACAATAGAGCGCTCAGCAGAATCAGACCAGAAATAGTACAAGAACAGTGCTGATTCATCGAAGACAATAGAACAAGGGACAAGATATTTATTCTCAGAATGTTATCAGAAAGGACAATACAAATACAGAAGGAGATGTATTTGTGTTTTATAGATAATGCAAAAGCGTTTGACAAAGTATGTCACAAAGAACTGCTGGAATTTCTGGGTAAGCTCGACATATCTTGGAACTATATTACAATAATCCAGAACCTATACTGGCAGCAAACAGCCTTCATACGGATAGAAAATGAGTTCTGTAAACATACAAAAATAGAAAGGGGTGTAAAACAAGGATATTGTCTTCTCACCTGACTTATTCAACCTATATAGTGAGACGATTCCGAGAGAATTAGAAGTCCTACCATGATTCGTTATTGGCGGTCATAATCTTAACAACATAAGATATGCAAATGACACAGTATTGACGGTAGGCACAGAAAGGAAAATACAAAAACTCCTACAGAAGTTACTGAAAGAAAACTAGAAGAAAGGACTAAACGCCAATTGCAGAAGACAAAATGTATAGTTGTTATCAAAAGAGACCGCCCAACATGCAAATTACAAATTGGAGATGGCGAAATCAAACAAGTACAACAATTTAAATATCTGGAAAACGTTTTAACCGAAAACGGAATGCGTGACCCTGAAGACCGACGACGCATTGGGATAGCCAAAGATGTCTTCCAGAAGCTAAGCAACAGAATTTCATCAGAAACAAAGAAAAGATTGCTGAACTGTTAGGTATTATCAGTCCTCTTCAGTGAATGCTGAACAATTTCTTCACAGATTTCTTGAAGCAACAGTGGTTCTACAGAAGAATGCTGAGAATACCATGGCCCGAACATGTGAGCAACGAAGACGACAATGGAAATAAAAAGGATACATATATTTAACATCTCGGAAGAGACAGTTGAAAATTTTAGGGCACATAATAAGGGCTGGGAAAATTTTTATTCTCACATCACAAATCGAAGGCAAGAGAGGCAGAGAGAAACAATTTACCTGGCGATTTTGAGTGCATGTATGGAGGATCAGTGTTTGGGTGAGATGGCGAAAGGCTAAAATTTATTGAGAACGACAAAGAACAGGAACTTATGGAAAGTCAAGGTCGCTAACGTCCCGGAAGAGACCCAGCACATAGAAGAAGAACCTATTCGTAAATACCAGAAAATTAACTCGAAGTAAAAAATTTTTTACGGTGAAAGTAAAAAAAACAAAATATATTTCTTTATTAGAATATGCATAAATAATTTACGTCCGTAATGTCGTTTTTTGAGGTATTTTTAACGTCAAAAAACGACATTAATACGTTATTATTTTTGCACCAACCTAATACAATGTAAAATGTGAAAATCGAATCTTATCCGCTTAGTTGAATCATAAGACGAAGATTATTATCTATCGAAAAATCTAGTCAAAGATGAACTATATTCTGAAATGTGAGATAATAAAATGGTGGGAAAAAATATTATTTTTAACAGTTTTATATTGATGTATTTATTCTAAAACACAATGCGAAGTAAAAGTTACTTCCCTTAGTAACAGAAATTAAAACAACAAAATCTTTAAATTTTAAAAATCTTACTTTCCTTAGCGAGTTAATTTCTGAGTATTTTTGTCATCTTATCCTTTGAATTTTATCACAACACTCGTACCTGTAAACATTTTTACAAGTTGAGCGTGAGGATAAAAAAAGCTAAAGAAGATCAGATAAAACCAATTCAGAAATTAATAAAAAGAAATAATGTGGATATAACTATAAAGTTATCTCCCCTGATGTGTTCTTTATAATTACCAAAAACAAAAATTCATTCATTCATATTTTTATTTTAATTCATATTTGAAATTTTTAAAAGTTTCAGAATCATTTAGCTTGAAAAAATTGTAGGAGAAAATATTTAAACATACTCCAAGGGAAGATGTTTTATTTAACAAAAGCAAAACGTCCTATCGAATATTAAGCAAATTTTATAAAGAATATTGAAGTTTTGTTTAAATGTATATTCTTCAAAAAACATTATCTTGTCACAAGTGACCTCAACTCTCAAGATTCATTAATTATTTACTTAGACAAAGAAATTTCAGTAATGTCTAACATTAGTGCCTGCAAAACAATGATGTGTCAAAACAATGGTTATTCCCTTAACATCGTTATTACACTACTTTTTTTAATCCCCCAGTAATGTATATTTATTCAATTATAAAGAATATCTGAACCAAGTACAATACAATATTATTTACTTTTTATAAAGGTTTATTATTTACCATTTTATTAAAAAAAAACTTTTATTAAAAATTTTATAAAAAATAACAAAATATAGGAAAATATTGAAACCAACCCAATGCAATATTTGCAGTAAAAAATAAAAAGTCTGTAATTAAGTTGTCCGTAGTCAGGATCATTGAGACAATGCAAATGATCTTTTCCTTAGCTGCATAGTATGTGTTTTGCCAGGGATACATACAGTTTTGAATTCAGAGTTTTCCTTCTCTTAGACTGGTTGCCACCCAAGGCTATATAACCCAGTCTGTCCTGCAATTTACCCATAGCTGAGAGTAAAAAAAATCCATTCATACCTTTCCCAATGGTATTAGCATGTAAGTGAATGTAATGAACTCGACTGGAATTTGAACTCAGCTCTTCAATTCCTCAATCCAAGCCACTATCCATTAATTTACCTTAATGAAATGTAAGGAAAACTTTGTTCATCCAAAGGAAAGGGAGATAATCACTCAAAATATTGAGTGTTTTTGGTCTTGCCTAAAATTAGTTCAGAGGAAGAGATGCTCTCAACATATTTTAGAGAATTTATATGACAAGAGCAAATGAAAGAAAAGCCTGGAAAATGCATTTTATCTAAATTTATAATTAATTTACTCGTCGTTATGTGTTTATTCAAATTTTGTACACACATTTTTATAAATTCATAAATAATTTCTTTTCATTTTCTTTCAAAATACTAAGTAATAAATATTTAATTATAGTTGATTCACATATTTTTCTAATCTTGTAAATATGAAATTATTCTTGTAAATAAGCAATCTAATAAATAGTAGTTAATAAAAACAAAGGAATAATTTAATAAGAATAAAGAAAATGTATAAATCCACTTTCATATATTTTGGTTTTATTAAAATTCTAATCATCGCTTTTTAAAACAATAACATTTTTTACAGGCATAAAGTTTAAACATTTCCCAAATTTCTATCATTTTATGCAAATTTCAAAACCATACATTAGATAAATTTGGAATATGTGACTTATTCAGTCAGTCAGTTATTTGCCATGCGTGATACATGCTTAGGCAATCATGTATCTTTTGATACATGACTGACGAGGCAGATTTTTTCCCACAGTAGGTTACCATTTCTTTCTGTGGTATACCAGTTGCCATCCAAGGCTATAGAACTCGGTCTGTCCTGCTATTTACCCATAGCTGGGGGGAGAGGAGGATTCATACGATTCCCAAGGGTATTAGCATGTAAGGGAATGTAATGGATCTGACCGGGATTTGAACTCAGCTCTCTGATTTCTCAATCTGAACCGTTATCCATTACTCCACTGTGACTTATCAGGTTGTCATAAATTTTTTTCTTTATCATTAGTAAAATTTATTTTTCAGATGCTCTTTTCCCTAAGAGCATGTGGAAGCCAAACACCCAATTTGCTGATGTCCCCAGTAATTTCTAAGTATCAGCATATGGTAGATTATGATGTCTCTAAGATCTTTGTTAATTCCAGAGTACTTTACTGTGGATCACATTCTGCTAATGACTTCATGGCTTCATCAGGTAAGTCTGGGGTTTATCTTCATCTTTGTTAACCAGTTTCGTATTTGCCAGGCAGTTATGACACCTTGACTATAAACACTTCATATTTTTCTGAAGTGTGTTAAGGAAACATACTTTCAATCCTTCCATTAGTGGGAGAAAGAAATGTATTCTTTAATTCACTGTGTATGCTGCCATTGCTGTGCAAAAACTAAGGTATGTTAGTTTACTCCAAATTTATTCTTGACCGCCATGTAGAGTTTGTATTTCAGGTGATAATTTGTCATTACAGACATTTCCAAGAAAAGGAAATTACTTATGACGATATTCAGTCACCCCCCCCTCCACGAGGATGTCATGTGGCACAAGGCCTTTTTAACGTGGGCATTCCGAGCCCATGGGCTCAGCCAAAAATATGCCCATTGAACCCATATAAACGGGTTCAGGGCCGAGTTTTTGGCCTGAAGGAGATCCTCCGGCATAGCCTCCTTCGGGTTCCTCCCGTCCATAGGAAGAGAGTACAACCGAACAGTCGGTTCAGACTTGAACGACTGACTTGAAATTACTTATGACTCAGCCTAATACTTTGTGACATATTCTGCAGGGATGCTGATGGCAATTATCTACCTTTTGAGTGACAGCCAGCTTGTGGGGGTAACAAACCCTAGTTGCTGAGTAGACTGCAAAGAGATAAGACATGTAAAAGTTGCAGTTAGGAGAACAGAGGAAACCACATGGTCCCAACAAAGAACACAAAAGACACCACTGACCTGACCAAGTTCCCTTCAGAAAAATATTACAAGTAAATCCTTCTAAATTTTTGCATGTATACACTGCTTGTTTTATCCATTTATGTCATGGTTTCCCTGTAAGGGACAAATAGTGACAGGTATATACATATTTCTAAATAATTTCTTGCATGACATAGCAGCAGTATATTAAATTTCTCCAAGCACAATGCATGTTAAGCATTTATTGTTTCAGCTATTCTGGTCCTTTCTTCTTTATTTCCATTGTTTTAAGCCATTAACACAATAAAAATAATAGGCAACTGGAAATCTTCTAGAATTTCTAAGTCCCACCATTAATTCCTAAACTGAATATACTGGGCTTTGCAAAAGTTATACTTCATTTTTTAGAATTTTTGTAGTAACTTTAATTGTCAAAATAATTTTTATTTACAATAACTTAAAATTTGACCTTTTCAGGTAATTATCATTTCAGGTAAATATTAGTAAGATGTGTATATATATATATATATATATATATATATATATATATATAAACAATGGAAACAAAAAGAATTGAGATATCTGCTCTCTTCTGTGCGGGCCACAATCAAGCCAGAAATTGCCAAGCAGCTAAAAGTCAGTCAGATGACCATCTACAGAGTTGCAGATAAAAAGAGGAATGGTGAAGGCCTCAAGGATCGCTCAGGCAGACCCCTAGTTGTCAACAAGCTGACTGTTAGGAAAGAATTTGAAAAGGATTTGATACTCAAAATGACTGAGCTTGCAAAAAGAAAAAATATCATTGTGGCAACAGCGTCTGGGGATGTCAAGAATGATGGAGGAAAAGCTTTAGGTGTGTGAAAAAAAAGCCTGTTAACTGTTCACATGCAAGAAAAACATTGAGAACACTGTCATAGTCTTCTTAATGATTTGAAAAGCCATGGGAATTGCTTTGTCATTTTCTCAGATGAGAAGACCTTCATGGTGGATTCAGTCATGAAGACGCAGAATGATCGCATTGTTAGTTTCACCAGGATGTCTATGAGGTCTGCTACTTGTCTATGACCAAGCACCTGGCCTCCATGATGATGCTTACCATTGTGGCCTCAGATGGAGAGATGCTGCCTGTGTGGTTCGAAACCAGATACAGGTTAACTCCAGCCAACTACAGAGTTATCTTGGCCATGAAAGTCATGCCTTGGGTGAGAAAAACAACCAAGAATGTAGACTATGTTTTTAGGTAGGATGGTGCCCCCACACACAGCAAAAGTCATGCAAGATATGTTGGGGTCAAACATGAATTTCTGGTCAAAGGACTTCTGGGTGTCACTGTCGCCCAACCTCATATCTCTGGATTCCAGTGTGTGGATGCATATAGAGAACAAGGCTTGCAAATTTCACAATAGTAATGTCGAAGAGCTGAAGTCCTCCATTAATCATGCATAGGCTTGGATGAGGAAAGACTATGTCTGTAAAGTGTGTGCAGCCTTCCATCCACGCCTGAAACTTGTATTCCCTTCTGTGGGTGGGAATCTTGATTAATAGTATTATGTAACATATAATAAATTATTCGAATAATAATATTTGTCTTATTACATACAGAACAGGCTTTGAAATTAAAATAACAGAGCGTAACAGAACTTTTGCAAAGCCCAGTACATAGTGAAATATTCACAGTCCTTTGGATATTTTAAGATGCATATACACAAATGAATAGTACAGGGTACAGTAGAAATACCCTCCACATATACTTCTGTTTTATCATTATGTGGAAGGTATTTCTAAGAGGTATATGTGGGAGCTATTTCTGTTGCACACTGTAGTTAACGTCTTTCCAGTATGTGGACGGTACTTCTGGTAGGTATATGTTGGAGGTATTTTTGTTGCACTCTGTAGCTAATGTCCTTCCATTATGTGGTAGGTACTTCTTCTAGGTATATGTAGGAGGTATTTCTGTTGCAAATCTGTAGCTAATGTCCTTCCATTATGTGGTAGGTACTTCTAACTAGGTATATGTTGGAGGTATTTCTGTTGCACTCTGTAGCTAATGTCCTTCCATTATGTGGTAGGTACTTCTGGTAGGTATATGTAGGAGGTATTTCTGTTGCACTCTGTAGCTAATGTCCTTCCATTATGTGGTAGGTACTTCTGGTAGGTATATGTAGGAGGTATTTCTGTTGCACTCTGTAGCTAATGTCCTTCCATTATGTGGTAGGTACTTTTTTAGGTATATGTAGGAGGTATTTCTGTTGCACTCTGTAGCTAATGTCCTTCCATTATGTGGTAGGTATTTCTGTTGCACTCTGTAGCTAATGTCCTTCCATTATGTGGTAGGTACTTCTGGTAGGTATATGTTGGAGGTATTTTTGTTGCACTCTGTATAAGTTCAAGTAACTAAATTTTCTTTTAAGTAGATATAAATTTTATTTTTCAATTATAATAGTTCTTTTTTAATTTTATCCATAAATTATTCAATTTATAAATTAACAAATACTATTTTAATTTATTTTCATGCTAATCATCACATCAATGTGTACTTTTAGCTCTGATTAGATTACAGTGGTTGAATTTTTTTTTTTTAAACCCAAAATTTTGTTGTGCAAGTGCCACATGTTTCTGGCCTATTTTTTCACACTGAATCTGAAAATCAAGTCCATTGTTTCCCATCACATCTTCTCAGTACAGATAATTTCTCTTTTTCTTAAAATAGGCTAAAATACCCATTTAACAAGTAGAACCAATTTTCAAGTTAGAATAACTTTATCATAAAAGAAAAAGTATCCTAATAACTTAAAGCATGCATTTTTAGCATTTTCACTTCAGAAAAAATTTTCAGGAAAATCTTACGCAAAATTAAATTAAGGTAAACATGTGTCAACAATTTTTGAATCAAAACAGACAAAGATACAAATGAATGAAAAATACATTTATTTTTTATTCACCCAATGATATAAATCTTCTCTTCTTGAAAACTCTACGGTACTCTTGAAAAGATTGATATCTTTTGATGCTCCAGCAGAAATCTGCAAAGAGCCTAGTTGTCTATGCCTATCTGGTGTTTGGCGGCTATTTTAAATGCTGATAAAGAAGTTAATCTTAAATACACTTGCCTAACACCCTAACAACCTTCATTTATCAATGTTCCTATGGAGGTTATACAGAGACTGCATAGCAATACCAGGCCTCTGTAAATTCAAGTGATTTAAAATCTTATGACAACTTCAGTGAAAACTACTAATAAAAACTAAAATCACTGTTCTTGAATGACTTCTAAAGAGCTTCTTCTATGAAAAGTAGAGAAGAAACACAAATCACAAAGTTTTAACAAGCTAAGAACATTGAGAGCACAAGAACATTTTCCAATGAGATATCTCTCATAAAATCAAGCGTTTTCAGGTTAGCTTGTCTGAACTGAAATAGCTTAGAATTCATTTTGAAAGCTATTTGGATAACTTTTTCTTGAATGATAAATCATTTTAAAATGAAACAAAATGTTTCAACTATGTCACTCACAGATTTAAGCTGTGGCATATCCCTGGCCTTATTGGCCTATTTTAAGCCAAATAGAAATTATCTGTACTGAGAAAATGTGATGTGATGGGGAAAAATGATCTTGATTTTCAGATTCAATGTGAAAAAATAGTGCAGAAACAGGTGCACATTGCCCAACAACATTTGGGTCGAAAAAATGTCAACCATTGTTATTTTTATAATTCAGTCATTAGAAAAAAAAAAGGCACCAGAGAAAATGAGGTTCTGTTAAACAATCTCTGAAGAGAACTGAAATTTTTTCAACACATAATCAGAAAAGAAAAAGTTGAAAAACTTAACTCTCACAAGGCATATTGAGGGCAAAGGAGATAGGGTACGGTGGAGAGCCTCCAACTTGATGAGCTTGTGGGAACATTGAGGTAGCAGAGGAGAAAATTTACTGTACACCTTCTACTGGTCAGCATCTCAAAAAAGCAGAATTTGGAAGATGTTCAGATGTACTTGGATACAAATATCTGACAGACTTATAATCCCAATAAAACCCTGCAGTCATTCCAAGAATGAAGTGGTCACACTTTGTATATTCAAAATGTATTCAAGTTGTATAGCATTTATTTCAAATTTCAAAACTTATTTCTCAAATTATAAATAGATTCTAATTCATGTGAATATTAAAATTATGGATAAGTATAATTATGAACTACTTAAGTGTATTGGTCCTATCATAATAAAATAGGGTATATTTTTTTTTTTTGCAAATAGTTTTTGTAGATTAGCATTCTTTAGTTTTCTCAAAAACGAAAACAAAAAATGATATATCGATTTAGAAGTGGGGGTCTAGTTTATACCAATGCAGTGTCAAATCAATCCGACATTGAAGAGTTATTGGCCTTAGATTAATTGGCCAGTTATTTACAAATGTCAAGCTTGAAAATGTGCAAAAGTTATTGACATCTGCAAAATTTCTGAATTTTAAAAATTTTTTGTTTTTTTAAACACTTTTTAAAAATATTTTTTAGAAGCACATGCATAAATATTTGAGGTTAATAATTATTTGAAATTAAGAATAAACGAATACATAAGTTTATTAATTTATGTAATTTTTTTTTTTTTTTTTGCTTAAAAATGTATTTAACCATTTGTTCTTTAAGAGAAATTGTTTTGTAACCCTTACCTCAAAAAAGCTCGTTTTTCATTCACAAAACATCTAAGGTCAATAACTCTTCAAAGTCAGAGGTCAATTTAACACTGTATCAAAATTAAAAACAGGACACCACTTTTATCTCGATAACAATCCAATATTTTTTTTTTATTTTGACAAATGTTGAATGCTAAGGTAATGAATGTAAATATAGAAAAATTATTTCCTAAAAAGGTTTTAAATAGTACCGTTTTTCTTTTTAAATCAGAAGCAACATTCCAGAAATCCTACAGTCCATACCTTAACTGTACTTATTGTCAGCTGAAGGTACTGGCAACTCAGGCAGTTGCCCAGGGTGTCATCAAGGACGAGGGCACTATCATGCCTCCATGTCATCTGTTTGGGATCTTCCAAAACTAAAGCTTATAAAAACATATCTGCAGCCATCCATGATTCAAGATGGAATAAATTCTTTGGCTATTTTGTCAATAAAAAATTCTTGTAAAGAAGATTGGTGTAGAAAATCCTAAGAAAAAATTTGCACATCAAAAGTCTACAAAAAATGTTTTTAGGTCGGATAATGAATGTTTTCTTTAGCTTGTATTAAGTTGTATATTATCATAAACTCGTTATTCTACATTTTCAGTTTTTCTTCTTGTGAAAATTAAAATAGATTATACTTTGTTCAGCTTGACTGGAATGCCATCAACCCTACAGCCATCATTGTTCTTTCATTTTGTCATTAGCTTTACCTCTGTAAGGAAAACCTTTTCAATGCAAAAAGAAAACTCAAGTTGGTACTGTAATATTTATATAATAGTTAGTATAAGAAAAAAAAAAAAAAAAAAAAAAGGCAAACTTTAACCTTTGTATCCACAAAAAATAGTGTATCAAAAGAACGTTTTTTTTTTTTTGTCTCTTGACACAATTGTAAACACTCTCAGCCATGTTCATAGTTTTAAAAAGCTGTTTAGAATTTTAATAAGATCCAAACATTTTTTTTGTTCTTGGGAATTGTCAATGAAAATACAAAAAGCTGTTTATTTATTTATTTATTTATTTAAGTTGTTTATTCACAAGAATAATTTTATATTTACAAAATTAGTAAAATATATGAAACAATTATAATGAAATATTTATTAAATAAAATTATTATTAAATATTTATTACTTACCATTTTATAAAGAAATAAATATGAAAAGAAATTATTTTATTCATAGATTTATAAAAATGTCCAGAAGCAAGAAAATTTAAATAAATGCATAAGAACAAGTCTCTGTAAGTATAAATTTTGAAAAAATGCATTTTCCAAAAAAAAAAAAAGACCCTTTTTTTTTATTTTTTATTTTTTTTTTCATTTCCTCTCGCCATATAATCTCACTAAAACAGGTTGAGAACATCTCTTCCTCTGAACAAAGCATCCTTTTAATTTTAGATGAGACAAAAACATTAAATATTTTGAGTGTGTATCTCCTTATTCGTTGGGTGGACAAGGTTTTTCTTGCGTATATTTACAGAATGTCTGTAATTTTTACCAGATATTTAGCAACAATTTAGGGTAAGATAGAGGGTTAACCTCTAATTGTTGGAGCTTCAGAACTTTGATTATTAATGATTAGGCATCTTTGGTCCGAGATCACAATTAAAACTAGAAGTAATCTAACCAGTGGCAGACCTACATTTTTGGGGCCTTGAAGTGGGAACAGATATGGATGTGACCCTTCACAACCAGCAACAATAGATTCGAGGATCCAACTGTCAAAATGCAAGCTGAGAATAGATTATGGTAAGATTAATGAGCCTTTTGAGCTGGGGGTTCAGGTGCTGCAAGCCTCCAAGAAAATTTTGAAATTTGACCAATTACATTGAAATTTTGAGGCCAAATGAAATGGGTGTTAGAGCATATTCTAATGCCAATATTAGCTTCTTCAACACATTGGCTTATGATTCTATCACTAAAATGGCCTTCTTTTTATAAAGGAAAAAAAAAAAAAAAAAAAAAAAAGAATAGACATCAATTTTGTTGAAATATTCACTCATTAAAAAAAGTTGCTTAAGCTTCATTAGTTTCATAATAGATCCACTTCTAAGTTTGATATATAATCTGAGAAGAAAAATCATATGCTTATTTAAATTTTCTTGTTCTAGAGTTCAGACATCTTTATGAATTTATAAATAAAAAATTGTTTTCATAGTTACTTATATAATGATATATAAGTAGTGCATAGGTATTGGTTCATATATTTTTTATAATTTTGTAATTACAAAATTAAACTTGTAAAACAATCTAACAACTAAATAGTGTGTAACATTTTCATTGTTATTAAAATTCTAAACACAGCTTTTTAAAGCAAACATTGTCTAGATAGTATACAGTAATAGTGATGTCAAGAGAGAAAAAAAAAACGTCTTTTTGACACACCATTTTTTGTGGGTACGAAGGTCAAACTTTGCCAAAAAAAATGCTTTAATCACAGATAAAGACAATATAAAATGGAAATATTATCTTTGAAAGATACCAAGATCAACAAAAGAGAGAGATGGTTTTGTTTTGTTTTTGTTTTTTTTATAAAGAACAGAAGAAAGACAAATATTGCAGGAAATCATGATTTTTACAAAAGAAAATCAGAATTAGAGAAAGACAAGAAAGGTAACAAAATAGTCATCAACAGTTTGATTGCCTTAAAAATCTATGGAGGTAAACAATAAACAAACACAAATAATAATTTAAAAAAAAAAAAAAAAAAAAAAGGAAGTAGAAAAATAAAATTTTCCTTCATTTTGTTCAATTCTTTTTCAAGAGAATCATGAACAAGTGGATTGGGGTGAGGCCATACAGGCTTTCTTGCTTATCTCCCTTGTTTTGGATCGACAGAACGAGAAAAGACAAAGAATAGCAAGAGAGAGAGAGAGAGAAAGGAAGAAAAACAAAGAGAAAAAAGGAGGAAAAGAAAAAGAGAGAGAGAAATGAGAAAGAGAGAGAGAAATGAGAAAGAAAAGAAAAAGAGGATGAGAAGAGAAAAATCAGGAAGCTGAGAAGAAAAAGAAAAGCTAAAAAGAAAGAGTATAAGAGAGAGAGAGAGAGAAAAAGAGAAACAAAAGTGTTAGAAGAAAGAGTGAGAAGAGTTAATGATTTCAAGAAATAGAATGTTAAGAAACAAGAAAAGAGAGAGAAGATACAGGCAGAGAGTGTAAGAGATATTTCAAAAATGAAAGATGGAAAGAAAGGGAGAGAATGAGGGAAAGGAGAGAGAGAGAGAGAAAATAATCAAGAGATGGAAAGAAACGGTGATGTGTGGGAGAGAGTTAAGAACAAAAATCTGACACTCATCACTTTCTCTTGGGTTGTCATTATTGTGTATTGTTCATTGACCAAGTGACAAGACAGAAAGAATGAATTAGAAATTGGAAAAGGGGAAGAGAAATATAAGGTGTGGCAGAAATACCCCCAACTTAATGATAAGACAAGAGCTAGATGAAGACACCATTGTCACTGATGTCTTACCATTATATGGGAGGTATTTCTGGGAAAGAGGTATATGTGGGAGGTATTTCTGGGAAGGAGGTATATGTGGGAGGTATTTCTGGGAAAGAGGTATATGTGGGAGGTATTTCTGGGAAGGAGGTATATGTGGGAGGTATTTCTGGGAAGGAGGTATATGTGGGAGGTATTTCTGCCACACCATATAATCACCCACTCTCTTTCCTTTTTGCTGTTTTTATTTCATCTTTATTTAAATTTTTTTTTTTTCGTTTTTTTTTTTTTTTTTTTTTTTTTAACTGATGAGCTACCTTGGTCAGGAATAAAATGGAATGGAAAATACATTTTCAAAAAATCAAGAACATTAGGTTCAATTATTTTTCTTTCTTTCTTCACCATTTAGTTTCAGTACAGTTCGCCATAAAGTCAGCCTATAATTCAAATAGATTTTGTTGGCAGTGTGAAGAGACTTTCTTGATTATAGCATGGTTGTTGTTGTTGTTGCTGTTGTAGTTACTGATGTTGATGGTATGTATTATGCATGTTATATTTCAGTCAGTTTTTATAAAGAAAAAGTAAAAACACGTCTACTTAATTTACACAATCGACAGCACAAAACAAAAATAGAAAAAAAAAAATAGTTGAATTTAATCAGCATTTCATAAATGAACAAAATAGTAAACCAAATTTCTCGCAAGTTTTCAATCTTTTTTGTTTTTATTTTTTTTTTCTTGCGGGTAAATTTGGATTCAGGAAAAATTGATTTCTGACAATTTGATTGTTTCAAAATATGTACATGCATAGAATATATAAATGGACACAAACAATATGATCAATACATTTTTTTTTGCCTGTAAGAACACAAAAGAAAATAAATAAATTTAAAAAAATCTCTCCCTAGTATCTGAAAGGGTCAAAATGGCCGTATAAGCAAGTAACCATTGTAGAGCATAACCAAAAGTATTTTGGAATGGCAATGATTGTTGGTTATTTGTAGGAGTAAAAATTCAAGCATGAATGTTTTAGAAGGTTCTTAAGGAGTTGAATGCATATCAGCATGAGTGAGCAAAAAGAGAATATGTTTGTCATGATTAGTAAACACAAATAGGATTAAGATCTTCTAAATTTTTTTTAGAGTGCACTATAGTTACTACCCACCAGAATTCCTTATATTGATTAAAAGATTGGATATTGTCTCCTGGAGCAGATACTACTCCAACAATAATGTTTTGAAAATATTCTAAAGAAATTATGTTGAAAGGATTTATTTTTTAAATTTTTCTACTGCAAAATTAATTCATTATTTGAGGTTAATTTGTGCTTTAAGACACTTTTGGTTATAAAATGTTTGTTGGATTTTAACATAAGTATGTATAGAAGTACAGTGAATTAATCCCTAGTCTTACCCTCATATATATATATATATATATATATATATATATATATATATATATATGCAGCATTCACCATCTTAAATAAGGAGTCCATTCAGAAGAGTTGCAGGAGATTCCAAAGTCATCTAGAGGCTGTGGTTGAAGCCAATGGTGATTTTATTGAATAAATTTACTCTAGTATTTCAAGATCTTTTAGTGTAATTTTGGTAATATCTGTTAAAATGAGATGTCAGTATCATTTTTATTTTTGCTTAATTTAAACGACAATTTACCCATCGCATCCTCTGTGTGTATGTATGTGCATATATATATATATATATATATATATATATATATATATATATATATGAAATAAATAATTTGAGAATGGGTTGATCTTCAAAAAATATAAGCAGGAACAATTATAAGGTAAATATCTCCTTGTGATTAGACTTAAGGATCATCATTATTTACTTATTGTGTCTAAACCAGATTTGAGTTTTTGGTCAATAGTACATGAGCTTAAATGTATATAGGCAACATATATTTATTCATGCATGTCTGGGTGAATAACCAAGATATATTAGGTCTATTTTTATTTTAATCCTCTCAAGTTCACGGATCAATTTCTTAGCATCGGTACAAAACTGAGTAAGAAGAGCACTTTATATATATATATATATATATATATATATATATATATATATATATATATATATATATACTTACTAATATATATACTTATATATGTGACAGGATGTGTATATGTGGGATAGGATGAAGAACAAATATGAAAATGTTTATAAATCTAACATGTTTCACTGTTATTAAGCTACATCAGAGAATGATATACGGAAAGAAATTTCCACTATTTTTTTTTTTTTTTATGCATATCAACAACTTATGGGTCATTTAATGCCAAAATTTAATTCTCTTGGGAGCATTAGTAATTTTTTTTTTCACTAAAATGTATTGCTGGTAATATTTTTTACTATGAAAATGTATAAATGGTATTTTTATACTTTCATAGTGTTTAATTTTTAATTGAGAGTTCACTATTTGCCCATAGCTGGGACCCTAATAGGTGCTACCACCCTGGGTCCGTGTGTACCTGGAAACAATAATTTAGGAGTGGTTCCATGCTCCTCAAAATCTATCAATCAGAGACCTTGCTAACAAATTTAGTTTTTTATCATACCCAGGACACCATTTCACTAGTCAAACAGTATCCATGTGCATAATTTATGTGTGTTAGTGTATCACAATTATAGTTTGTCTATGCGAGAGTTGGATGATAACGTATATATGTATGTGAATGTGTTTGTGTATGTGTCTAGTAGGTATTATTTATGTTTGGTGGTTGTCAGCATGTTGATTTGGGGGGACGTTTTTACATCAAAATTGGTTGTGGTAGTTAAAT